CATAAAAAATCAGTAGGGAACACTTGTTCAATCAACAAAACAATAAAAAAGCGAAAAAATTTTAGCGGCATTTTAAGGTATCTAATATAACAAAAAAGCAAAAGAAAAACATCGATTAAAGGCTCCAGCATTAAGTATGGTATCATTTTAGTGTTCAGAAAGTTGAAAATCTCTTAGGCCAACTAAATCTGCGGTCTCAACAATCTGACGATGCATTTTTCGCCACACAGTTCAAAGGACGTTGCATGTGATTGGAGCGATATCTATCAGTACATTATTCTTGGCTAAAAAAGGAGAGAGGCAATGGTTTGATTTGCTTTCTTCGCTATATGATAGATTTTTGAGCGTTCTAATCATCCAAATCAAAAAGGTCCAAAGCTTTGTAAACTCTCCGATATTCATGCTCCGAGCCAACCCAGTTGGTTTAGTGTCCGTCTAGTAACCAACAAGTTCGGCAACGGGTATTAGGACACGCAAGTTTCTGAAACTTTTCACACATAGTCTGGAGTAATATTGTATACATGTAGCCCAAATTCGGCGTCATATGATTGTTGGTGCGCTGTAAGCAAGCCTTCTTTGTTTAAGTTTTGCGTTTGAAATTCGCGCGCTTTCCAACCAATACATTCAACACGTAAATCTGACATGTACAGGGCCGGACATACTTCACCTTTTAGTTGCGACGCGAATTGGCAATATTCCGACTGTCCATAACGCAATGTAAGTACATTTCAAATTTGCAAAGATGGGTCACTCTCTCAATCCATGTAAGTTATACACACTATGCATGTGCAATTTGCTAGTGTTGGATCTGAAGACTTCTGGCGAATTGCCAAATCGCGTCGCGACTGAAATCGTGTAAAGTATACCGGCCCTTTTGTCGTTTTATTTCGGCGCTTTGCCAGGACCTTATAAAAACGAATATCCCCGCTGCTTCTTACCTCAAAGCAAGTTCAGTTTGACCCCAGACCATCTGCGAATGGCCCTGAGCAGCGCCCATCCAAGCTTTGGCTTCATAACTTTGAAAGGTCCTAACTTGCAAAAAAGTTGCGAAAACTTGTACATTTTTGAAACCCATGTTTCGTGCCCAGCTTGGAGGACTGCTCCAAGGGTAGTATCGTCGCAGTGTCAGAAATTCTCGTTGTATGCAAGGGGACACGGCCATAGGGTGTTACAGTTTTCGCCAAGGTTCAACGCAGATTGCTGTGGGAAATACAAATATTAACGGTAGCGGCTTTTCAATCATGACCCAAGTATCCCAGCTTCCACAGCAAATCAGTTTGATGATGCGTGGTATAGAAACTACACGGTCGTTGGTTTGGCCTCTATCTTCATAGGAATAGTTTTCGACAGAGAGGAGGAAAGAAAGGAAGAAGAAAAGAAAGTTAAGAAGAAAGTATTGCGCTTTTCATGGAGTGGTGAGACAAGATAAAGAGAACGCTAGAACGCTGTTGAGAATGTCAGCAAAAAGGTGCAGGGCAAAGCAAGTTTACAGCGCTAAGAAATGGTTTTGTAATTTGGACTTCGTCTCCGTTTCTAGTAATTAATAAACGAAGTAAAATAAATATGAATAACGAACGGAATGATGCATATCTCACATGGTTTTACCGAGAACTAGCTGGCTTACCCGGCTCCGCCCGGCTCTGTCAACACTGTATTAAAGGTCCCATCCCTATCCCAGTACAGCCTGTCCCTGTGCTCACTTCTACATGCAAATCCCTATTCCCGCTGTGTTATTAATCAGCATGCTCACCTACCTCCCTCAACAACCCCCAGCCCCGTAGCTTAAACTTTGCAAAAAATCAATAAAGACTTTTAAAGTAAGGGTAATTCTAAAAACTGATAACGCTGAAAACGACCTTACTTCAAAAGTCTTTATTGATTTTTTGCAAAGTTTAAGCTACGGGGCTGGGGGTTGTTGAGGGAGGTAGGTGAGCATGCTGATTAATAACACAGCGGGAATAGGGATTTGCATGTAGAAGTGAGCACAGGGACAGGCTGTACTGGGATAGAAATGGGACCTTTAATACAGTGTTGACAGAGCCGGGCGGAACCGGGTAAGCCAGCTAGTTCTTGATAAAACCATGTGAGATATGCATCATTCCGTTCGTTATTCATATTTATTTTACTTCGTTTATTAATTACTAGAAACGGAGACGAAGTCCACATAACAAAACCATTTCTTAGCGATGTAAACCTGCTTTGCCCTGCAGCTCTTTGCTGACATTCTCAACCGTGTTCTAGCGTCCTCTTTATTCTGTCACCACTCCATTAAAAGCGCAATACTTTCTTCCTGACATCTGTCGAAAACGATTCCTTCGAAGATAGATGCCAAACCAACGACCATATAGTTCCTATACCATGCATACATCAGACCGATTGCCTTTGAAGCTGGGATATTTGAGCCATGATTGAAGCAGCAATCTAGATTTTAAAAATGGGTTTCAAAAATGTACAAGTTTTCTGCAACTTTTTTGCAAGTTAGGACCTTTCAAACTTATGAAACCAAAAGCTTGGATGGACGCTGCTCAGGACCAGGCACTGATGGTCTGGGGTCAAACTGGACTTCGTTTTGAGGTGCAAAGCAACGGGGATATCGTTTTCATAAGGTCCTGGGCAAAGCGCCGAAAAAAAACAAACATGTTAGGTTTTGCAAGTTGAGTGCATTCGTTTGCAAGCGCGTGAATTTCAAACGCAAAACTCAAACAGAAAATGGCTTGTTTACAGCGCAGAAACAATCATATGACACCAAATTTGGGCCATCTGTATACATTACTCCAAACTATGTGTGAAAAGTTTCAAAAGCTTATGTGTCCTAATATCCGTTCCCGAATTTGTTGATTATTAGACCAACACCAAACCAACTGGGTTGGTTCGAAGCATAAATATCGGAGAGGTCACATAAGTTTTGGACCTTTTTGATTTGGATGATTGAACGCTTAAAAATCTATAATATAGCCAAGAGAGCAAATCAAACCATTGCCTCTCCTCTTTTTTGGAGCCAAAAATAATGTACTGATAGATACGCGCTCCAATCGCATGCAGCGTCCTTCAAACTGTGTGGGCATCGTCAGACCGTTGAGGCCACAGATTTGGTTGGCCTAAGAGGTTTTCAACTTTCTGAACATCAAAATAATACCATACTCGATGAGGAGCCTTCAATCAACTCAGAATGTTTTTCTTTTGCTTTTTTATTATATTACGTACCTTAAAATGCCTAAAAAACTTTTCACTTTTTTATTGTTATGTTGATTGAATAAGTGTTCCCTACTGACTTTTTATGTCAAGAAAGACTTCGTTAATTTTCGCGAAGTTGTGGGGGATTTTGTTTCCAAAAGCGCTCCAAAGTGCCGGGCCCTGGCATTGCTTCGCTTGACATGCTGTGGATAAGTGGAAAAAACGCCTTACTCGTAAGGGGCTATTTTAAAGAAGTTTTCTTTAGGCTGCTGCATGACGAAAGCGCGATATCTTTGGACGCGAACGTCCTTTTATTAGCCGCAGAGCACCTGAGGCGCAGGATTTACAGTGGTGAAGATACGCGCGCGCGCAACGTTCGCGCCCTTTCAACTAACGCTGCTTATGCGCCTTCGTCATGCAGCACCCTTTCGGTACTTTCGGTTATGTACGCGCGCATTCAAATGCAGAAGATTGAAAGGAAAAGGAGTTAAACTTTATATGGGGGTATCTAATCGGCTTATTCTCTCCCATCGTGCGATGGAGTTGAATGCAATGTGAAGGTGAACTTTGTCGCTAACGTGTTGGGCGTGTGAAAGCTTGCTTTCTGGTGTTGCCCTATAAAACTCGTAAAGCGCTACTTTCGTTTCGTGGTGTTACGGGTGAAATCGCCACGTACGCTAAGGCAGGTGCTATACTCCTCGAGGAGTATAGCATGGCGACGGGCGATCGCCAGTCGTAGCGACTGGCGATCGCCTGTCGTAGCTACTGGCGATCGCCCGTCGTAGCGACTGGCGATCGCCCGTCGCTAATCGATACGTATCAAACGTGTAGTCGCCGATATTGGCGATCATTACTCATTTCCCACTTCCATTTCAAAGTACTCACCAGCCGGTGAGGTCGCCCTAAAAAGAATGAACTGCAAGACCAGTTTTTCACGTTCAACACTTAACGGTAACTTGTTTGGCGACTGGCGATCGCCAGTCGTAGCGACTGGCGATCGCCCGTCGTAGCGACTGGCGATCGCCAATATCGGCGACAAAAATCGCTGGTTTTGCACGTATTTGATGCATATCGATCGTCGCCATGCTATACTCCTCGAGGAGTATAGCACCTGCCTAACAAGTAAAGAAAACTGAAGTTCAACGCGCTAACTTTCATTTCACGTACTCATTGGTCAGCGAAGGTCCTGCAAAAATCTTTTAAATTGGTCGGGTAATTTTACTCTATCGCAATGTATCCAAGGCCGTAGGCATACCTCACGTGATTCCATCGCCACGCGATCTGGCAACTTGCCATGTGCCTTCAGATGCAGCACTGGCAGGGTGAAGGGACATTTCAATCAGCACCGCCTCCGCGGACTGTCTGGTCTTTCCGCCCTACTATTGTGCATCGTGCTGGGAACAGTAGTCCGCGGAGGCGGTGCCTAACTAAGGTGTTCGTTCCTCTACCCACACTGGCACACTACAAGTTCATAGTGTGCATGACTTTTGTACATTAATGAAATTCCCTGTCTTCTGTACATTTAGAATGCGGTTTAAATGAGTTACGAATAACTGAAATAGTGCCAATCGCATCGCGATTGAAAGCGCGTGAAGTATGCCCGAGGTTTAATTATATTCTCAATGTCGAAGTTTTCAGTGTATAGAAAATAGCTTTTTAAAATCTGCTTGACCGCGGGAGATACGGTAACAAATATCGGTAAAGTTACTGATGGTCATTGTCTGTTGTAAATCATTCGTTTTATTTTATGTTCAACTGCAGTTTTCGATGTCGGGTCTTGCCGCTTTTACGAAATAATAATGCTTGCAGTGACGAAAAGTGACAATATGAAAATACGTGAAGCTGTTGTGTTTCTAATCAGCACTGTCATTCTGCTCTGCTACTTCTACTCCTTTATACTCGATGAAATTTCTAGAGGACAGCTTGACATCAAGAAAGCAGGTAAAATATTTACGCTATTCAGAAACTACTCGCATCATGTGACCAAAGGTTAGCTATCGGGGAAACGACTCTAAAAAAGGTATTGCTAGGGATACGACTGTTTTGCACGACATTATCCAGCAGCCAATCTGAAAGACGTTCTGACACGTTCCGTAGGCGCAACTCTTCCCCCCCCCCCCCCCCAACCTCCACCGCCATTATATTACTCAGGCAAAAGCGGTTGCAGTGTGTGTCGCGCACGGTTCGGTTTGGGAACAATCTGACAGCATTAAGTCATGCTAATCGCCCCCTGTTACCTAAAAGATCCTATTACCTTACTCCCTTTACGCTTGGGAAACTCTCAAATCTTTTTGATTGATGGACTAGTTTCGTCTAAGGTTTGCAAGGCCACTAATTGACGTAGAACATCTGTCAGTGTTCAGAACGTATGTGTGCAAAGTTTGCCGCCATGCGGTTCATGATACACAAGTTTGGACTGAGCCAAACGCAATTTTCACAAACTTCTAGTTTGATGTTAAGAGAGATAGGCTGATAAGAATGAACACTTGTAGTCTGCGATACAGATAAAAAAACTAGGCATTAACAGTATAATTTTCATGAACTTTCTCCTTTTTGAAATGAGTGGTAGCAGTCTTCCAAAACGAGCTGAAAATACCGAGAAAGTTCTCCAGCAACTCAACAACATTCACATAATGCAGTGCTAGCCATAACTATGAAGCCACCTTGCGAATTACTATATCTCGTTGCCAACATTATTGCAAATCTAACTGTTTGTGTATATGCCAACTTCAAACCCAACCGCGATTCACGATTTCGATGGTTTCGGTCGGAGAAATATACATATTTCGCGGATGTCATGAATTCGATGTAGCTCTTTACTTTCTCGACATGGCATCCAGACGAACTCTGAGAATCATGAGAAGTTTTGATAGAGCAAAACAATTTTTACAGGTATCAATAATTCCGCGCCAAAACTGTTCCACATGAGGATAAAAATCGAAGTCCAAAAAGTTCCTAATGTCCAAAAAAAAGAAGAAAAGTCGGATTTTTGTTGAAAAATTTTCAACAGACCTTCCATTCGCATACATCTATACTATCGATATCAGACACTCTTATAAACAGGCTGTAACTTTCTCCTCAACTAGAAACTGAGAAATCGCAAATCTTCTTGATTTTCTCAAAGCTGCTAGGCCGTTCTTACATAAGTCTGAATCTCAGATCTTCGTCTAAGAAAAGGGACGAAAAGAAGTAAAGCATGTATTTACTTCTTTGTAAGTGAATTTACTACAAGCCTTTACGGTGAAACTGTAACATAGCCTTTTTCGAGGGCTGGTTTACGAAAAATATTAGATTTAGCTTCTTTTCTCGAAAACAAGCGCTCGAAAAGGCGAAAATTCACAGTTATACTTACAAAGTCTTGTAGTGTAGAACAACTTTTGTCAGAACGTCTCAGCCTTGTCTTGAACACGAAATTTCGATTTCTCAGCTTTCTCAAGGAAAAATGACATCAAATGTATATATATTTGTCTCTGTTGTTAACAGTGTAGATGTGTATGACTAGAAGGTCCGTTGTAAGTTTTTGGACGGGGATCCGAATTTCTCCATTTTTTAAGCATTTAGAACTTCAAGATTTTGATTTCTAATTTTACAGGAACAGTCACGGCGAGGAGGCATATCAGCACTGTAGAACTTGCTTTGCTCTATCGAAATGTAACCCTCATGTGTTTTCGTTGGCTGCATGGTTGCGGTGCCATAGCAAGCGGATAAAACACGACATTATTTGTTTGACAATCTAAGAAAATAATTCGAAAATGCCTGTATGAACACAGGTTAAAGGCATCGTCTACCCAAAATGGAGGTTGGCAAGATTATGATGGCATACTAGTTTGGGCCCCCACACTAGGCAAACCTCCAAGCTGCGGCGCAGATTGCTTCTAGAGAGAAATCCGCTCCGGAAGTAACAAAGTAGGCGGGGCGACCATGGTCGCCCCGCCCACTTTCATTTCATTTCATTTCATTCATACGCTCGTGGCGTTCCAAATCAAAAACAATAAAGTGTTAGTCATACATGGAACACAACAGCAACAAATAACAAATCACCACGTCGTCCTAAGCCCAGTCTAAACGACTTACTAAGAAAAGTAATGTAGTAGTAATGTGATGATAAGCTTGCATGACTTGCATCTCGGCTGCACGTTATCTTGTGCTAGCATAGACTCTATGGAGAAGTACCCATGCCCCCTCGTTTGCCAGCAAGGAACGATCTTTATATAACTCATAAAAGCAAACCGGAAGTTCGGGTGGCGGGTATACTGGCAAACCCCGCCCAACACGGTTTGCTGGGAAGGGTCCTGAGCTCCAATTATAAACAGGAAAGTAGGTTGAGCAAGCGTAGTAAGAATCAGCAAGCCGTATGAATAGTAAGAAGTTGACAGTCAGGCTGGGCCCATAACTACATGGTCTAGTCAAGTTAGTTGAAGAACAAATCTAGCGAAGCAGAGAAAAAAAGTAGAACATGTTGAACACATGCACTGATTGAGTCGGACATGCCCACGGATGGCAAGAGAGAGCACTTGCATGCTTTATCTTGCCTGCGCTTGCTGCGACGGTTCTCGAAACGGGGATTTTTGGGTTTCGCGGATTTTCGACTCCATATTCAAAATCAGGGCCTTCAGAAGGCCTGGAATCGACAAAAACATGGAAGTCGAGAATTTGGGGGACGGTGCTTTTAAAGCTATAAAGCCACTTCCTTCTTTTAGACATTGGATTTTTTGTTCTCAGCTTGTTTTTGCTCAGCGAACCACCGAATTATGGGATATTTTGAAAACTTGAAAGCAATTAAAGGATAAGTGCATCCTTTTGCATAATTACTTCAGAAATCTGATTCGGAATTTTCAAAAGTTATACGACTTGAATAGAGAATTTAAGCTTTCTAAATGAATATGTTGAAAAGAGCTTGACTTACTCTGACTTTCGCAAATTGCAGGCACTGGAAAACCGGTTTTGATTTTACTTAGGAATAAAATGTTTCTGAGTTATAAACTTTGGTTTTTGATGGTCTGAGGATTTCTCTATTGAAGTTATCACATTGTCGAATGGTGATTTGTTTGCGCAAAGATATCATATTTTGGAGAGCCGCAGTTCAAGGGGTCATTCAAACAATCGTGCCACTGAATCTGCGTAATTCTAAAACCTCTTTTCCACTTCGCTTAAATGAATCCTTACGGAATATTTGAAAATGCCGAAATTTTAGAATGTTCAAAGTTTTCAAGATTGAAATAATTTTGTAGCAGTGCAGGTGTTGTCATTGTGCGCACGTTATCTTGAATACAGAACTTTCAATTATTAGATTCAGCTACTGTAGTCAGATGCGCGTCTACATGATGTTGAGATTAAGCTGCTTGCCATATCAAAGATTCGCAAAGTATACTCGAGCGCCTTTCACCGTATTTATCAAGAAGGCTCAACAAAATTTAGAACTTTTTTTGGAGATCATTAAATGCTGAAATTCTCTGAGTCAGCAGTTTCATAAATTGGCCTATTTATGCATTTAGAGGCACCGTCCACCCAAATTCTAGAGTTCCATGTTTGTCGCTTCCAGGCCTTTTGAGGGTCGTGATTCTGAATATGTAGCCGAGAATCCGCGAAATCCTCAAATACCTTCGTTTAGAAAACGGTGCAATGCAAGTCGGCGCTGATATTTTCCGGGCGCGCCACATGCAAACCTACAAAGTGGGCGAGATGACCAGCTGGGCGGAGTGATTACGTCCTTTCCGCAGCGAATTTCTCGCTCCGAAAGCAAACTTTTGCTGCGTAACTTGGGGGTTTCAATAGTTTGGCGGCCCAGCTAGTATGCCATCATAATCTTGTCAACCCCCGCTTTGGTGGACGGTGCTTCTAAGGGCAAATCGCAACTATCTCCGCCTAAAAAAAACGACTGATTTGTCCCACGTATATGCAGTCCATCATTCTGAACGAGAAGAGTATTTTGATGAGAAGCAGAGGAAGTTGTTTGGGCTAAAGTCTCTATATATATATACTTCAAGAAAGATCTTTAAATGATTCCGAGAGCCTATTTCCATCTACTACTTTTTTGACATAACTGTTGTAGATATGCTATGTAAACGACTGAAAATAGGAATTGGGTGGTTTTTCTTGTTGGTGATGATGGCTCAGAATGTTTTCCTAGCTCTTCCATCAAAAATAATCATACAGATGTTCTGTTGACCTTACATTCAACGGTAATTGACAAGTAATACATTGTCAAGCACAGGTTGTTTAGAGCTTCTATGAGACGAAAAGTCGTCCATTCCACAATAAGGCTTGGTTTGGTTGACATCTTGTGCATAAATAGGCAAAAGATAAATACATAAGCCAAAACGGAAATCAAGGTTTGCCCCTCTAAATCTTGAATCACAAAACATGAACGAACATCTATACAAAAAGTGATGGGAACGATTTCGTCTCAAAATTTCCCATTCGGATAAGATTTATTTCTGAATCTTTTTGTTGAAATCATTTGACGCATCTTTGTGGCTGCCACGAACTAAGAACTATCTAGGTTTTAGAAGTGCATGCGCCCCATTCACCTTACTTCATCAACCCCGAACAAATTAGCTTGGCGGAGACAGATCCATTCTTTCTGCAATTGGATTATTTCGGTAAGCAACCTCAAATAGCTTATTTGGAGGCTATATGACTTACTGGAAATTGCTAGCACTGAGGGCTAAGCTATATCTACATTAGTAAGCCGGGCGAACTTGTGTACTGTCTGCAGACCGTGGATCTACACTCAGCTTCTGATCTAGAAACAGCGGCAGACAATTCCATACCACGAATGTTTATGGCTAAACTGTCCAAATTATCATTATCTCCTCTTATCCACGAATTAGCTGCCCTAAGTTCTTGAAGTCCCCACTTTTTCCCCCTCCCTATTTTAGTACCTTAACTCCGTTCATACCTTCGATAGACTAGAGACAGAGCGCCAAAAGTGAAGGTTGTTTAAACATCTGACGTTATAAATAGTAAAGGTTGTTTAAAAAAGATCAGAAAGAGAAAATGACGTAGAATAGATATAAAAAACAAAATAAACTGCTAAGAACCGGATAAAAACGCTGCAATAAGGTTTGGAATTTTTCTTAGCGGCTTTTCAGAGTGCAAGTTTTCGCTTCAGGACCAGCAATTCGCAACAAGGGGTTTTGATTTTTGATGCGTTCTTCAAATTTTTACCACCGCATTGACGTTCCTGTTTCCTGGGACGTTGTCTACATTGCTGCGCTTATTGTTGTGAGCAATAATAGCCCAAGGTGGAAAAAAAATCGATGCGAAAGCACTGAAATAGAACAAGGTAAAAAACGCACTTTTACGATTTTTTGCAAAAAATTCCGCCTTAATCGAAGAGGTGAGGGTTTGTGGTTGTCTGCATTATGAACAGAGGCAAGATCTATAGAATGCACGAAAAAACGCGTGAAAAGAGATAAACTGGGAGAAAAACGAGAGATTTTCGAAAACAATTTTGCCGGATTTCTTAATCAAATGAAAAAATATGGTTTTGAGACGTTGTCAGCGTGAAGATAGAGATCAAGAGCTTCAAAATGATATATAGCTTGCTAAATTTGGGTTCGAAACAGCGAAGAAAAGGGTACCAGAGCCAAATGCCTCGCGCCCCGCGTTTGGGGTAGCGTACTAGCGCGCAGCGCGCGGAGACGCAGACGAGCAGGGGAGACAGACCAGAGCCGACGGGGCATTTGGCCCCAGTCGTAGATCTCCGCGGGGTCTTAACGAAATCCCGCAACATTATATATCATTCATGACACGACGAGGAAAACTAACAACGTCACAAGCTTCAAAAATCAATCATTAACGAGATAGACCAACGTTTTCGTGCGCGATTCTCTGCGCAAGAATTAAGCGCAGTTTTTCGGTTTTATTCAACTCTAATAGCTTTCCTAAACTTCTGAAACTCTATTTTGGTCTAATGAGAGGTTAACTGAGAAATTCTGTCCTGAATTCTAGCGAAAATTCCACAGAAACCTTCTTTTTGACGTAAAAAAGGCTATGAAAACGCAAATTCTCGGTTTTACTGAAAGCTAAAAATGTTATTTCCTGTGTTCGCTTCATTAACATACGTTCCGATATACTCAGGATATTAACATCCAAAGCGAAGCCCCGGATGATTTCTGTTTTTTTCCAGGTGAAGGTTGTGTCCCCTCATAGCCCTCAAAGTGAAGGTTACCAGAGTACGTGGCTCTATGTATCGAGGATATAACTCCCTTGTTGGAGCCCAGACTCTCTTCCAAAGGTTGCCAAATCATCTGGATTTTGCACCTTCAAGTTTTTTGGGACAGTAGCGTTGAGTTGCACGTTAATCATTCCTTGTACCCAGCTTCCAATAACTCTCTCTTTCTTGCCTGCTTCTGTTACGGTCTTACCGGTAGCAAGGGGCGAGAGCAGACCACAAGACTGGGACTAATCATGACTGTCACATCTAGGTATGTATGGCTAACTTGTTTAAATCGCTGAGTGGCATATCTTGTCATATTATCTAGCACATCTTCCTCAACAAGTATGGCATGCCAGCTTTCTGGATGCTTCTGCTTTTCTGAGCATTGAGGATTCCGAGTACACTTACATTAAGATGTAAAACACATTACTCATTCCAAAGTGTAGCCTTCTTATCGCCTTGAAAAGTGTAAACTGCGTAAACTACGCAAGATTTACAAATCATTTCTTTTGTGCACATCGTCACAAAAATGTATTAGGTTGTGTAATAAGTTCGTTCGCATTTTTGTTTTGATTTTTTCTCAATGTTTTGCAGAGCATTTGGCAAAATGTTAGTGTGCGTTCAGAAGCTCCAAGTCTGCTCTATCAAAATTCTGTTACCAAATTTTCAATTCTTTCAAAGTTGAACAAAAATTTTACTTCACACTGAAAAGAATGAAAAGGCAAAAATTCCATTTCGACATTTCCTTTCTTAGTTTTCCCGTTATTTATTGTTGAAGTTTATTCAAAAAGCTTGACAATGGAGAAAAACGAATGACTAATCATCTATGCACTTACTGATGCTATTTACATTACCCCCTGCGTATACCTTGCATTGTGAATTTTTGACTACACAACGCATTTATTAGGTCGCTCCGAAAGTAATGTCGCTTTTTTCAAACGGGCACCACATGTGTTAGAACAAAGGTTCCTAAGAGATCTTAAAGGCATTCGATGCAGAATTTAATTCTCTTTCTAACGATCATGAAATTGTTGCAAAACATTCAATGAGCTTTCAGAAAATAACCAAAATCTGCGACCTATGCTTTTTAAGATGGTCAAGTTTCACGATTTTTTGAAACTTTCATATCGATCCTCAGAAGGAGCTCAAGTAACGATTCGATAGAGTAAAGCTTATAGAATGCAGCACTACTTATTTCTCTTTCTCGTAGCTCGCCGTAATTTTTTAAAAGATTTTTTAATGGAACCACTGCATTTTGGCAGGCCCACCTCAGCCACATTCGCATCAAACATCATAAATATTTCGAAATTTGAGACTACCAAGATGGTGCTATGAGTTAGCATTAATTTTACAAAGCATTTGAGGGCTTACGGGTTCGAAATATCGAATTTCGAGTTTTTCGGGTACAGTCTGGGGCTCGTTCAAAAAAATAAGTTATGATGATTTAATCCCCGAAAACTAAACGAATCGGAATCCAAACACACCTGTTAGAAAGAGGAGAAAATGCTGCATCGAATAGTGCCTTAACTGCTCTTCCATTAATGTTCTACGAGGATTTAGCTGCCTAAGTATGAATATCGGTAGCATCACTTAAAATTATGTCAAAAATATATGACAAAGTATGGAAAGAAGAAAAAAGAAATGCTGTATTCTATAAGGTTTACTCTATCGAATCGTTACTTGAACTCCTTCTGAGGATTGATATGAAAGTTTTAAAAAAGCGTAAAACTTGACCATCTCAAAAAGCATAGATCGCAGGTTTTGGTTATTTTCTGAGAGCCCATTGACTGCTTTGCAACAATTTCATGATCATTAGAAAGAGAATAAAATTTTGCATCGAATACCTCCAAGATTTCTTAGAAACCTTTGTTCCATCACAAGTAGTGCCCGTTTGAAAAAAGCGACATTAATTTCGGAACGACCTAATGTTCGATGATTTATCGATCATAAACCACATTGTCTGCCAATTTCTGGATTGTTCGGCTACCACCCTTCCTCAGAGGTGCCGTCAGATGCTTAACGTTGACGCCAAAGAGACATAAAAAACATACTTATTTTTGAGCTTACAATATGAATTTTTGGAAGGGTTTAGCACTACAAGTAATCTGCGGGAGCTACAGCATTCTATTTTTACATGTCGCAAAATTTTTGAGCTGTTTCTGAAGCGCTCAAATCCATTCGAGACGTAGCATGACATGGTTGTCGAAAATGCGTTTTTCGCCATTTTAGGTTTTTAGGCTTGTAGTCAAATTTTTTATTCAACTTTTCAAAAAGTGGGAATATAATGATAGTATTTTGGTGGAGCAGACTTAGGGCCGCATGCACTAACATCCCCACGGAGAGGAGATCACAGCTCAAAAGAAAGCTTTATATTTCAAAACTCTTGATACCTGGATTTCCGGTTGTGTACCTATCCGTAAGTATTCCTACTACCCTTCACTATGAACATGCTGAACTGTACACGAGAAGCTGTACAAACCGTATTTCCCGGTTTTTATATGATCCTTAATCCCCGGCGCTTTTCTTTAAAGTCATTTTTCTTTCTCCGAAGATAACAAAAACCTTCCAAAGTTGTACTGAACATTTAACATAACAGTGCTAAGCATATTGCTGATAAGAACAAATGATGTTTTGAAGTCATGAAATTTTCGATGATCCACAGGTCGAAATTTGAGGTTTACCGAAAAATTCGACTTTTCAAAAACTCATTTGTTCTCATCAGCAACATGCTTAGCACTGTTGTGTTAGATATTCAGTACAACTTTGAAAGATCGTTAACTTTGGAGAAAGAAAAATAACTTTAAAGAAAAGCGCCGGGGATCATCAGGGTCATACAAAAGCTGGATGTGGTTCGTACAGTTTCTCGCTTCTGTTCAGCATGTTCATGGTGAAGGGTAGTAGGAATACTTCGGATAGGTACACAACGTGAAATCCAGGTATTTGGAGTTTCGAAATATAAAGCTTTCTTTTGAGCTGCGATCCCTCCCCAGCGGGGAGGTTAGTGCATGCGGCCCTTAGAGCTTCCGAATGCATATAACCCTATGCCAATTGCTTTGTAAAATACTGAGAAAAAATTGGAACAAAAAATGCGAACGAACTTATTGCACAACCTAATATATTGCTGACTCATAAGTTTCGAAAAATCAAGACGAAACAAATGAGGCTAACTTATGATTCGAAAGCTCCACACGTCTTGCTTCAATCAGGACAGGCTTTGGCATCATTTGAACATCTGTTTTCGAAGCGCAATTCAGATCAATCAAACAAAATTACACACAAGAACGTAGCAAACGGAACAACAGCAGACACGCAGACTATGACCGATGAAACGAATTTTGTAGCATTGTCAAGAAATTTGCAACGAATCACTGAAGGGCATAAGATAACAACAGGTTTTCAAAAGAATTGCACTCTCATTAAACGGTAGAAGTACTGTGATCGTAGCAAAAGACATTTTCGAATATTGTCCGTTCGAGCCATTGGATCCATGGCGTAAGGAGTTAGCAGAACACATTCATGACAAGCACGGATTCAAGGTATTTTGTCAGAATTTAATGTACATAGCGAAAACAGCCCTTAGAATTGTACTGTGCGAGAAGAGCTCCGTCCAAAAACCAAGCTCTTAAATGGAACGATTTCGGTCTCTGGTACATCTGGTCTAGTCTGCAAAGGACGGTACATTCTACAGCTTGCAGTATACGCCACCTAAGTTTTTCTCCTCCCATTTGCTTCATAGGTCAAGGTGAACTGAACGTTTTCAGTTGTCTTTGGTATGTTAATGAGCATTCGACCAAGTTTGGGGAGTGGGAGAATATCAGCTACAAGTTTCCTTGCGATTTTGTTGAGACAGCATGCAGTATGAATCAATTTAATGAAGCCTATTCAACACGATTTGTGCATAAACAAATTGTAGAGCAAAGGTGAGTGATTATTACCACAACAAGCTCACTTATACTCTGTGGATAGGAACAAAAGTGAAAAAAAGCTGAACCTTGAGGAGCATCCAGACTTGCACATAATTATCTTGGACTCAGTGGGCTCGTCGCACTTTATAAGGTTTGTTCACAAACAACTTTACAGGATGGCGATTAGAGCTTATGAAATCTACGATTCATATATGATTGACTACAACTTAATTTTAAACTTTTTGTTTTCTGCAACTTCGCAGTTCTGTCTTTATCTATGAGAATTGCTCAAGCAAAACATTTCAAGGTCTTCGCTTCCCCGAAATGCGTCATGTAGTGACATGAGAGTTTGGAAGTTGGGGTTGTGCTTGCGGGGTAGCGATGCACAGCACAGAACGTCAAAAAAATCGTTATTGCTTATAGTTACAAGCAAACATGGTGTTAACCGAAGAAAGTTTACATAAGCAATATCAATTACAGTAACGAAATCCAATAAAATTAAATATCGTCCATTCCCCACAGTATAGCGGGCGGAGCTTGCCGACGTTTGCCAATGTATTCGCGTGATAGTTTTTGATAGCGAGACGGTACAAAAACTAACGCTTCAAAATGAAAGTTCAGCAAGTTTTCAATCGTGTTCAAATGTCTGCAGGGCCACGCCGCTATACGCACGGAAATCGGCTATTGTGGAGATCAGGGCCGTACGAGATCAGGCCCGTACGAGAAGCCCGCGAAACGCACTTATGGCGGGAATTGTAGGGATACTTAAGCAGGCGCGCCAAGACCTGCCTGCCCACAAACGGATCTCACGCCAGATATCGGTTTTTTCGTCTATCTCATGCTATTGCCTTGTTAACCTCTATTGCTTCGTTCTTTTTGTTGTTTTCTCGTTGTTCGTGTGACTCTCTGTGCTTGTGATAGCGGCTTAGCGGCTCTTGTGCCATGGATCTCTATCAAAGAACCCATTTAAAGGGGTACACTATACCTTAAGAAGAGATTTATATAATCAGATTTCTGCTACACTCAACTTGCTCTATGTTACCTCCACTATGCATAAATTTATTCCTGCTGTGATGATTAAAGGCAGCCTTGGCAGAGTACTAACATTGAAGTATCTATCGTTCTTGCTTCCGCTGGATGAACCGAGTTCACAACTGTGCTTTGCCACTTTTAAGATTATTGGCAACCCACTTTTCCCATGAGAAGAACTGTTGTCGGGCAACGAAAGTCCGCCCGCTAAAGAGCGATTGGTCGTGGAGTCTGGATGTAGATAGATCTCACCCTCGTGGAGTCTGGATGTAGATGATCTCACCCATCTCGGCAGCAATTGGATTATGGGCTTCAGCAGCCAATCGTTCTACAAAGGAAACGGCTTTCGCTTCTCGCTCAAACAGAAGTTCCACGTTCAAAAAAGCGTGTTATTGATATTTTCATAAGCTGCAAGGCACAGATTCAGGCTCAGCCCATTCAAAGGAGTCAAGAACGGTGAATACTCCAGGGTTCAAGCAACTCTGATCATCAAAGCTGCATTCGAATCACAGGGGAGATGGACTAAGTGTGTGGCGTCTGGACACGCCTCTTTAGTGACTGAATGCTTTCTACCGTAATTTAAGAAGGCGTTTAAACCAGTGTATTGTGTATTTCAAGTCTGCGCACCAAGATTTAGGGTTTTCATCTTTCAGTTGCTTGGCTGGCTGAAAGGCTGAGCAACTCTTCCAATGGCTCTTTTTCCCTCTAGATGCCGTTGTGCCAGAAGAGCCAAAGCCTTTTGAAAGCCAATCCACTGATTGTGCAAGAAGAGCCATTGAAATTCTTGCTCCTCCTGTCAGAAACTAGGCGAAGGTTACCCATACCAGTAACGCCTTGAGTTGCTGCGTGACTATTTTTGATCGAACCAAAGTTTAGAACTGTGAAAATAAAGCTATCTCATTCTTTTTAAAACTTTGGTTAGAAGAACCTACTCACTTACATCCACGCTTTGCTTGAGGAACAGAGTTTGGTCCCACAAAAGTTTGATAAACGAGAGATTGTTAATCCAAAGTGTAACTATTTGGTATGTTTGATTGGTTGCTTTTGGTTCTTTTTTAACAGTACAGCGTAACGGTGTTATGTTGGGAATAATAAAGTAAACCGAAGAATCTTTCAAAATTTCGTAAGCTTGTCATAATTGCAAAACACACTAATGATGTACTCGCCAGCAAGATATTGAATTACTATGCTTGACTCTTCTTATCCGTTCATTCTTACCATGCTTAAATAATTTATAGCCATTCAGAGCACTTCCTCGTACTACAAGTTTTCTCATAAACGGAATGGAAGCTATAACTTTTCGAAAATTGAACAAGGTTGGAAGAAATAGCAAACCTAATGCTTTTCCTGCGTTTTTTGGTAAGTCTTCTAATGAAAAAAAAACTTGCAAAAACGAGTCATACATTTTAGTAGGTTTTCCCAAAAGTTTTGTCGGTTTTTTCAAACCACTATAAAACCACGCCAGCAAAGACCTGAACGAGTTCCAACATACATTCGATGCAGTTCCTTTTCTTTCTTATGGTTACATCGGACCGCAATCCTGTATGCTTCTTTTGATAAATGCCACAATTCTCAATTCATTCGCCATTTTTATTTGCTCAAAGTTAGGCTAATTTTCAAAAATTTTATCCCGAAGTTCTGAAAAGGGTTGAATAACAAACAGAGCAATTAGGGCCTTATGGTGGTATTCTTAGACTCTCTTAATCTGCTGATTTTAGCTTCAAAAAATTATTTTCTCGGAGGTCTCGGTTTTTGGCGAAGTCGTGGAACAACTGCAGTAAACACACGAAAGCTTTCAAAGTTTCTGCGAACTGGGACAAGATTCTTATTAAGCATCAATCAGCAACATAACCAAGTTTGATTTGCTTTGTAAAAAAGCTTTTCAGAATTTTTGGTGCTTTTACGTGGTAAAGTACTTAAAAAGCCGCGGTATTTTTCAATTAAATGATTATTACAAACCTGATAAATGGCCCCGTAATCTTAAATAGGCACAATGTAACCAAAGGTTTGCTCTACATAACACTCACCAGCCCTAATACTATCCAAAACATGTTATTATAAGTGCGTATAACTAAGATAATCTTGTCCTTTCATCTTTAGAAGCTTTTATCTCGTAGTTTTTCTATTTCAGACTACAAATTGGAGTTAGGTCAAAGTTAATAGTATTTAAGGTATTTCCAACCCGTGCGGGACAAATCTGTTCTCTGTTTAATGCAGCATCGCATAGCTTCAGAAACCCGAACCTTAATTGTAGAATTTCCAAACTTAATTTCTAATGACGCTGTCCCCATGTTATAGCCAAAAGCAGAGGTTTCTGCTTTTAAGTGAAATTAGTTACAGTTAGGTGGGCTCTGGTGTGCTATAATACTCCGCTATCAGCAGGAACATCGCATTTTTACAAATATATGCTTTTAAAAGCTTAAGCAAAAACTTAGTTTATGAATCGTCAAGCCACTGTGTCTTTGTTAAGGAGTAACAATAGAAGTTTATGAATCGTCAAGCCACTGTGTCTTTGTTAAGGAGTAACAATAGAGGAAGTCGAAAGGATTGTTATGAACTTGCCTCAAATGAACGCTGATCTGTCAAAGAAAGAGCACTGCGAAACGTTTTTGGATGATCACGAGTTTATACCTTTCGAGTATAAAAGAAAAGGCTATAAGGTACGATGCATCTCGTAGAATTATTCTCGTATGAACCATTACTGCCTTTCGATCGTTTTAAAATATCAAGTTTGAACAAGCGCCTCAAATTTGCTGAATTACCATGCAATCGAAAAGCAGCCACGTTCATGATTCACACGGGAACAATTCGGGGGATGCTTGATAGCCCGTGTATTTGCGAAGACTCAGATATGTAAATGATTATTTCAGACTATAATGGTGGAAGACTATAGTGAAGGAATTCTGACCTACAAGGCCTGCTTAGGAATGAAAGCGGAACCGCATCATCATACGTACAGGTGCTGCCTCTCATTTTACCGCAAATTTTGTAAGTAAGGTAAGTACTCTCAAGGAGTACGGTACCACTATGATCGACGTGCACCAAGCATGGGTGCTATAGGGGGAGCAGGGTCCCCTCCAGGTGAAGGGGTTTGGCTATTTCTGAGCTAGAAAAGTGAAAAGTTAACTGGGCCTAAAATGAATGCTGATGCAAGCTTACATGTCTAACGGGAGCGGGAGAAAAGAAGGAAAATAAGTGGTAAAGAGGTGTAATACAAAGATTTTCTCAATGCTCAGGCTTTGAAAGGTCATCTAACACAGTTCTTTTTTGACTCAGGAAAGCTTTATGTTTCATCAGTCGACATACCATTCGAAAGTTTGGAACACACATAATCGATGTGGTCCGTCTCTTTTTTTCAGCTCTCCTGTGAATTCAGATAAAAAAATCATATCTAGTTCCAGCATTAGCTGTTATGCAATCATTTTGAGCTCCATTTTTGAACCTACTTAGATACTTAGATGGTCCGTCCTCACGTGACGTGCGGGCCCCAGTACAGAAGTTGCCATTTTTCCCTGTCCCTCGCTTCAGACATCCACGATCTTCTTGGACGTCGTCGGTGGCTGCGTCCACGATCCAGGGGCGAAAATCGTATCCAGCTGCTTTCTCAGCTGGTCCATCCGTTCCACAACGCGTCTGCCCATCTCGTCGGTGGTCTTCCTCGAGGACGTTTGGCTTCGCGAGGAATCCACTCAGATGTTCTTAGTGTCCATCTATCGTCTGTTCTTCTCATGATGTCACCGGCCCATCGGTGCTTCGCTTTCGCAACGTATTCCGCTGGTCACGAAGACGGGACATTCTTCTCATACCCACGCTGCGAAGTCCGACTAGATGTTGCTTGTGTCGGGTCATCTTCAGAAGACTGCGCTGGAGCGCTCTATAGGTGGAGTAAAGCTTTCGACGTGGCTACAGTGTCGGCCCAAGTCTCAGCTGCGTAACATAGCGCCGGGAGAACGGTCGAGTCGAACAGGTGGGCACGAAGCTCCGGGTCCGTCAGTTGGTCGGTGGCTTCCTTCAGAGGCCCGAAGGCGGCCCAGGCTACTCTTCTTCTCCTGTTGAGTTCTTCCCTCAAGTCGTTCTCCATGTTCATTGAACGTCCGAGATACTCGTAAGAAGACGTCTCCATAATAGGGGTGCCTTCCAATTCTATTTCTGCATCTTCGCAAAGGGCGTTCCTCATTAACTGAGTCTTCTTCCGATTATTCGCAGTCCGATCTTCTTCCCTACTTCGTTCAGTTCCTTCAGCATCGTCTCTGCTTCGGTGATACTGCTCGAGAAGAGAACGATGTCGTCCGCAAAACGAAGGTTAGACAGGAATCTCCCATCAACTCGTATGCCTCTCTCGTCCCAGTCCAGTGACTTCATCACCCACTGCAAGGCCGCGGTGAACAGCTTCGGCAAGATTGTGTCGCCTTGTCGGACCTCATTCCCAATTGGTATGGTTAAGGGGCGATGAAACAGCTGCATCGTCGTTGTACAGTCCTTGTAACAGTCGGCTAACGTCCTCACGTAAGCTGGGTCCACTCCTTGATCGACTAGCGCAGACAGGATGGCGTTGGTTTCGATGCTGTCAAAGGCCTTCTCATAGTCGACAAAGGTCAAGACGAGAGGCAGTCGGTACTCCCGGCAGACTTCAATGACCCTCGAAACGGTCTGGATGTGGTCCATGCAGCTGAATCCTTTGCGAAATCCAGCTTGTTCTTGGGGTTGGGCTTCATCCAGTGTCCTTGATATGCGAGCGAGGACAATCTTCGTGAAAAGCTTGTACAGCACACTCAGCAGGGTATTGGACGATAGTTCCGGAAATTCTCTCGTTCACCCTTCTTGAAGAGAAGGACGGTTCTTGACGTTCTCCACTGGTCGGAAGTCTTCTCCTTCTGAAGGTAAGATGTCAAATGCGACGCTAGAATCTCGTGAAGACGGTGTCCTCCGGCTCACAGAAGTTCGACGGAAAGATGATTTGGTCCTGGAGCCGCGGATGTCTTCGTGGTCTGTATCGCGATACGCACTTCAGCAGGTAGAATTCGTGGTGGTACTTCTCCAGTGGGAACAACGGGCGCACGGGTGTTGATGAGCGGAAGAGGTTGGTATAGAAGTTCTTCGCGATAGATTCCATCTTGTATCGGGAAGAAGTCGAAGTCCCGTCTTCGTTCAATAGTGCAGCCAGCGGTACGCGATATTCACAGAGATCCCTTCGGCACTTCTTGAGACTTCGTCTTCCTTCGGCTGCTTCCAGTATCTTGGCTTGCCTGTACTTCCTGAGATCCTCCTGCAAAGCTGTTCTGCAACTGGCGTTGGCTATCAGTCGCTCGAGATGGGTTGCATTCGGATCCTGCCTCAGAAATCTTCTTCTTTCAAGCATTTCCTTGGTGGTCTTCGAAACGCGTTCAACATACTTCTCGGAAGTCACTGAGGCGCACCCTCCGCAGGCTCGCAATCCTTTCAGAAGCCGGTCGTAGTCGTACGTTGGGTCCTCCTCGATGGGCCAGTCACAACTTGATATGAGCTCTTCCTGTTAACGTCATAAACGACTTCCTTCCTTTTCGCGGCACTATGACAGACTTTCTTTTCCAGCCTTCGGCTGAGTCGTATCTTCGCTCGAAGGAGGCGGTGATCGGAGCCACTACAGAAGGATGGAACTACAGAGACATCGAGTAAGCCCCACCTTCGGTTGGTGAGAATGTGGTCGATCTCAGCATGAGTCGTTTCGTTGGGCGATTCCCAAGTCCACCGGCGATGTTCTTTCTTCATAAAGATGGAGTTTCCATGGAAGAGTCGTGCGGCGGAGAGAAGCCCAACGAGAGGTTGCTGTTTTCGCTTCGGAGCCCATATCCAAACTTACCGATCCTATATTCCTTTTCTAGTGGCATCCCGATTTTCGCATTGAAGTCGCCCACAACATACTTGTAGAAGGACTTCTCATTGCGGACGACCTCCTCCACGTCTTCGTAGAAAGGATCTAGTTCTGAGTCGTCAGCTGCTGATGTTGGCGAGTAGCAGTTGATGATGCTGATGGTCTTCTGACGTGGAGGACGTAGTCGTAGGATGCCTAGTCGAGGTGATAGGATCTCGTGCGAATCGACAAGATGGACGATAGATGGGTGGACGACAAAGCCGACGCCTCCCCGTTTCGTGATGGAACCTTTTCACCACGAATGATGAGGGTCCCATCACTCATCTGTCGCACGTCCTTCTTCCTGAACTTCGTTTCCTGCAGAGCGATGATGTGGTAGTGGGAGGCGTGCAAGTGGTACCCAGGCAGCCGACTGCTGCCACAGCCAGCCGCCAGAGCTGGCGTCAGCGCAACCGCAACGGTAGGATAATTACGCTAACCGTCTGATACCTCTCCGCCGAGAGGTCTCCTCGCACCTCACCGCGTTGAGGTGCGATATCAGCCTCAGGGATAGCGCGATATCATAATAATGTTATCAATATCTATATCATTTTAATCAGAAAAGACTGATTGGTTCTTATATATCAATATCTATATCATTTTAAACAGAAAAAAATTCCTAGTTTATTGAGAGCCATGCAAACAGTTACAAAACTATATACAAGCGACAAATCTCCAAAATTAAAATAAATATGATAAATATGATTAAGATAAAATGAAAATGAACAAATTCACACAGAGTAAAGTTTTCCTGGGGGAGAATGGTTCATAATTTTAATTTAGTGATGATAAAAAAGCTGATAAGCCAAATTAGGTCAAATGTCTGAGCCAAAGTGTGTCAAAAATTGAGTAGGTCACTGATGCTGATATAAAAGACAATAGAGTAGTCATCAAGAACCAAAATGTCTAATCTGTACAGCCTTCAACAAGAGCCTCAGGCTCAACAAGCGTATGTAGAGAATTTATCGCTTCTTCAGGTATTCCATGATTTCTTCATGTATTCCATGAAAAAAATTAATAATCTAGAATTCGTTGCCTGCCCTCCCAGTTGTACACTTCAACTAGTGAAGTTCCCCGCGAGTTCCGCGGGGAACTTGAGGTAAGCGAACAAGGAGTTCATCCGGTCATCTTGTATGATATTCCTGGTTCGCGTCTCTGTTACGTCTTCCAATATCATAAGAAATCATCAAGAACGGACACGGCTTTATGTAGATGCTATGGATGCAAGAAACAAAACAAAAATTACACATCAGTTGCTGTACGTGAAAATAAAAGAAAATAAAAAAAAATCAAAAACCACTTTTTTAGATTTTTGAGAACTTGTTCGATAAAGATCCATGTCTTCTAAGTCACAACTGCATACCTTTAGATAGACATAAGGACAAAGCTAACCGTGTAGCTTATGAGGTCTTCTTTCTTTCTTTCTTTCTTTTTTTCTTTCTTTTTGTCTATCTTTTTTGTCTTCATGTCTATACTTCCGCAAATTTTAGAGCTGTCAAAACATAAAAAACGATCCAAAATTGAAAAGAACCACCCCCAATAACCATTTCAACGAGACCGCTTTTCAAATTCTCAAGTCTTCATGGAAAACACCGGAAGCAAGGAAAAGGTATTGCCCAATTTTGTACAAAAAGGCTACGGTAGCAGAAGAAGCTCATTTACAAGGTGCCTTTTCTTTTTTTCCATTCTTTTCTATTCATAAGAATTTTAGAGCTACATCTTCACGGATTAGACGAGTAGAGATGAACGACGTGCCCGAAGAACTTAGAACTCTACCGACCGAAGAAGATTTTCTTCAGATTCAATTACCGGACCTGCACATTTACTACTCTGACGAAGTTATTGCGGTATTCTTTTATTTTAATTCGAAATTTTAGAAATTAATTTTTTCAAAATTTTAGGCGACTAATGAAATTGATTTAAAGGCATTAATCGGAGACGGTGTACACAAGCTGAACCCTATCACGATTCAATCAGGAATAGAAAAAGGGCAGCTGTACACCGTTCATGCGATGTGCGGTGGTGGTTTTGAGGTTTGTAGAAATTAAATTAGAAATTAAATTTGAAAAAAAAGAAATTTTTTAGGTTCCTATTCTGTTTGCAATAACGCGTAAAAAAACGCGCGGTCTACAAGAGCGTGTTTGAGTGTCTAAAAGAAAAAGTAGGAGATGGCAATATCAGAATAATTTTAGATTATGAAAAGGTGCGCGAATTCGACCCGATTGATTCCAATATCGATAATGATTCCAGGCTGCCATAAGAGCAATTAGAGAAACTTTCCCAAATGCGCAACTTCAAGGCTGTGCCTTTCATTTGGCACAAGCTTGGAATAGAATGACTAAGCATTTGGGGTTACGGCAGTTTATAAGAGGGCCAAAGAAAATTAGAGCTGTGGTTAGATGGTGGAATACGGTAAAAGGAGTCGTTTTTTTTTACCAAAGGATTTAACGAGAAGGGTCCCAGCTCTGATGTTTCCACCAGTTAATAGCAGGCACGCTTACTACGTGCCTTGTAAAAAATTTCTCGAGTACTTGGAGGAAACATGGTTTCAAGGAGTGTATAAAGACATGTGGTGTAAATTTGACATCGAGGAACTGCGAACTACAAATGCAGCTGAGGCATTTCATAGGTAAGAATTTTTTATAAATTATTTTTTGAATTTTTTGAAATTTTAATTGAAGTTTTTAGGAAGCTGAGGGGATTACTGGGTCGCAGGACTCATCCCCCATTCGAGGAACTTCTTGAATGTCTTCAAAGAATTACTGTTACCACGCTGGGGACACTTCTGCACGTTCTGGAGGTTGTTTAGTGTTAAGCGATACAAATCATGCATAACAGTTTTTATTCAGAACCCTCGAAGATGCAAACCACTACGTAGGAAGGATTTGTTGCGTCGCGAACGGAAAATAAATGCTATGACAGATTTTAGGGAAGAGTATCGTTCTGGCGCATATGTAACTACAGCCTCAATTAATAGTTATTGTATTATGATGTCCAAATTTGTAACAGAAAAAATTATTTAATTTGTCATTTATTCACTTTTGTAATTGTAATTGTTTGCCCAATTTTGGAGATTTGTCGCTTGTATATAGTTTTGTAACTGTTTGCATGGTTCTCAATAAACTAGGAATTTTTTTCTGTTCAAAATGATGTAGATATTGATAAAGAACCAATCAGTCTTTTCTGAATAAAATGATATAGATATTGATAACATTATTGATGATATCGCGCTATCCCTGAGGCTGATTTTGCACCTCAGCGCGACGAGGTGCGAAGAAATCTCTCGTCCAAAAGTTTCAGACGGCTAGCGCAATTATCCTAATGCGGCTGTGTTGACGCCAGCTCTGGCGGCTGGCTGTGGCAGCAGTCGGCTGCCAGGGTACCACTTGCTACGCACCCTGTGGTAGTTGATGTGCTCTGCAGCGTCGAGAAGAGCGTGGAGGTCGGCGTTTGTGGAGACTGTCCTGGCCTTGTAGGTGCAGAGCATGAGGCAGTCTCCATGGCGTGTCGTCCGGGTAGACGTGTCGTTTTTGTCCAATCCGAAAGGCGCCCTGAGTACCCTTACATCGTTCTTGCTACCACCCGGCGCCGTAGGCGGGATCCGATGTACAGGGTTTTTTCTAAATCTTCTTGCTGTCTGAGTAATAAAATTTGTTCCCCTAGAAGAGGAGGCTTACTAGGCCTACTCTTGATTTCCACGAGGCGATCGCTGACCCCGGGCTTGGAGCGGGAGGGATCGCCTAGCGACCAGAAGAAGCCAGACGGCGGGGGATCTGGCGTGACCGGTTCTTAGCTAGGCATCCGGCCGAAACCGAAAACGTGGAACCCCCTCACAGCTTGGGAGGCCCTACAGAGTATACACTCGGCTGTGCATCGCAGTTCGACACCCAGTGTCACCCCCTACCACGATGAGGCGACCGACCATTGTGGGGGGTTTCCTCATTCTTCCATTTTAGGATGAGGAAATTAGCAAAAAGAGACGGTCTACGTTTACTGGCAAAGCTTTGCTCTGTATGGTTGAACAACTGGGCGTTTTCAGTCACTCTTTGCATAAAAATTTTCTCACAAAAATACATGTTTTTAACTAAAATGCCGTGTATCTATGAGTAAAGGAAAGCTAGAAAGAAAGAGTCTATGTGATCCCTGTTTTGTGAGCTTCTTAAAAATGTATGAGTTGTTGAGCGAAAACTTGTGGCTTTTCAGGGGATGATATTTAGTATTAACTTGCTTCATCCCGCTCTTGCTTTCTAGGGGTCGCCGGAGCAAGAGTTTTTGGACTGGGAAAGCTTTGTGCACCAACACTTTGTGTACCATTCGATAGCTAAGGGCACGAGAAATCGACATAGACCGCCTCTTTTTTCCTAGCTTTTCTGTGAAGCGAGATACGAGCAATTTCATCTAGCTACAATATCAGCCAATTCTAAGTGACTACCTTCTCAAAACAAGAAGGTCTTGTTCGAATTTTATATATGATTCGAAAGCTTGGGAAACGAATTATCTAACCGCTTTTATTTGTTATTATCTCTCCTAGTGAAAGGAGATATGGTACGATTTTTGTCAGTAAACATGTATCCATCGCTAGATAGTCCAGATTTTTTACTCTTCCTCAACTCTTTCTTGCGATAATGTGTATTCAATGATACAGTGTTAATTATCCAAAAAATCAGACATCCTTTTGATTTTGATTATATTTCGTTATCAACGCCACTATGAGTGCGCAGAAGGTCTCAAGCATGCGTTTTTTTTTCAACAAAACGCACTGTTGCTTCGATACTCTCTTGCAGTCTTGATGTCTGAGAAAGCAGCTGGCGTTACTTTTGAAAAAAAAAAGTGCCTTCGTAACAGCTATTTGATTCTGCGGTTATGCCTTGATTCTAGTCTCAACCTCAGGTGAAAGGGGTCAGCCAGATGCCGGCCTTAAAGTAAAGGGGTCAGAAAAATTTCTCCACCCATCGCATCTATGGGGGACAAAGTGGCGTAGTGGTATGAGGCGCCGCTATGACCAGATCGGACGTATTTGATCCTCGCCCCTGGACTAGCCAAGCCCTCTACCCTCCGGGGTCGGTAATATTGGTACCAGAGTAATCTGGGAAAATAAAAGCACTGACTTGATAAACGATTGGCCTCCGCAAGTCAATATAATAGGCTCGCACGCACACAGTTGCTTCTTTGATTGTGAAGTAGTGTGCGTTCGGCGCATGCCCCCGCAGAGGGTATTGAAGACGCCAAATCCTTTACGCTTTATCCTAATAATGAATTTGTAAAAGGGATGAAACAGAGATATGGAGGTAGGATGCAAGGGGCTGAAATTTTCAGAATAACAGCTCAGATTAGTGAGACAGTGGAAGGAATATATATACAGTCATGGGAAAGAATTACGTAGGAGACGTTGATGATTTACGAAGATGATAGCGGGGAGAACCCTTGAGTATGATTACAAAACATTTCGTCATGCATGCGATGAAGGCTGCGATCAATCCACAGTTTCATAATATCTCTCTCACTTCGCGCTTCTCTGCAGCATAGGACTTACATCATTGAACCCGAATTCCCACGGTATAAGTCTCTGCGAGAAATTTTGATGTCTCGCGCGCTCAAGCTGTCGACCACACATCCCCTCACAACGCTGAAAGTCGGCATCAGGTAGACAAAGGAGCACTTTTCCTAATTTTCTGAATGTTTACAATCTATCTATAAGAAGGCTTTCTGAGAGAGCAGTTCAAAACGAGTTCATCTTAGCAAAAACAACTTTATTCTCTTCTATCGGCGGTTTTTAATACGAGTTTCAATAACGAATTAGACATTGAATCGTTAACGTTTGGAATGGGTTTATTTGAGAATTTTTTAATTCTATGGTAGCAGAAACATGAAAACTTGTTATCCGCTGGTTCATAATAGCCTCATATTTGCGTACCTCTAGCATAAAAGCTCTGCATCTACATACAGTGCGTTTTTGGTCTAAAAGTAAACTGAGAAACTAAAAATTGCTCGTCGGCTTCAAAATGTAGCAACTATGCCATATCTGATTTTGCATCGAGTTCGTTTCCTAGTGCATACATATTTTCCTTAATTCAGAGTTTTTGAGAATAAAAGAAGAGAGGACGAAGAACTGCAGAAGATTTTGTGGGAAGGCCTCTGTAAGGACTCTCTAGCAAATCAATTAGAATACCTCTCGCTTTTTTTGAACTCATATCAAGGTAACGATAAATACTTTTAACCTCTTTTTTCTGAAAATCTTCGGTAAATCTCTATTTACTCCTCAAGTGCCAGTCATCGCTATTGTACTGGACGAACGACTTGCATAGGCTTGCGGAAATTTGTGCAGGTAAATGTACCAAACCGCCAGAGGTCATGCACATCTACCGCAATTCATAATTGTGCATACACCCCATGTTTTGGCAGTTTTGAGACTTTCTAATGGAATCCGAAAAACAGCTGGTACTACGTAGAAGAGCGTAGCCAAGAACGGTATACGCGGTACAGGAATGGAAATCGGTGTCAATTTTGGGAATGTTTTTGCGCGAATGCAAATTTTCAGCGTTCCTAGTTTGAACACAAAGCAAAAAGAAAATTTCTCCCTAGAACTGCTTTTTTTCTAGTCAAGATTTTTGATAGATAAGTAACGAATTCTGAGATAATACTAACGCTGACAGTGCAGCTGAAGCGTCTTCTCAGAAAACTAAGAAAAATTTTGGAGATAGTGCGCTCAAGAACGTGGTATTTTGGCGCCAAAGCACTCGAATACCAAGGCTATGAGATGAATTAACTTTTTGGTATTTCGATATTTTGTCTGACGCCCGGGCAATCTCTATGTTCTCGTCAAATTTTCCAACCAAGTTCCAACCGTACCCTAGAATTAGCATGATTCCAGGCTTCGAAACGCAGCTTCTGTGGTCCTAGATAAGCTAAGAAAGTTTGTCCAAATTCGCAAGATTTTGTGTTTGACCAAAATTCTGCAATGCTGAGAGTTTGTTATGTCCAGCAAGCGTCAACCTCCAAAAATGGCTGTGTTTACGGTTGTCACACTTTTTCTGGCCCTTTAGCTCTCGAACCTCAAGATCAGTTTTGCAAAAGTCCAAGTCAGCACGGTTACATCAATATACAAGTGATGCGTCTCATGAAAACTCTTTGCACTAGCCAGAAGCTGAAATTGTGTTTGCTCTAAAGTAAGGTTGCACTTAGTTGAAAAACCGGACGAGTACACGGAAATCTTCTACGTTGAACAAAACATCTCTTGAAAAAACTTGATTTATCCTATGGCATGTGTACAAGCTAATACTCTAACCACAGACAAAGGCATTTTGAACCATCTGACAAGGGAGGCTTGTTTAGTCGAAGTGGCCTTTCCAGAATTGAATGTGGTAGAAGGACAAATGAGATGTTTACCATATTAAAGGGCGTAAAACGCTGATTCCAAATCTGCCTTCCTTACCTGCAGAACGATTACGGAAGAGGAGTTATGAGCGTTTTTTGAAGTCAAAAATTAAATGTGCATTTTGGATAAAATGAGTGCAACCTTACTAAAACTAAAGTTATGCAACAAGTACGATATACTTTTCAATCTGGAGTATTTATTTCAATTAGAGAGCTCTGATGATCAACACTGCTCAATTGAAGAGCTAGAAAAAGTATAACGGTTATTTTTGTCCTTCTATCACATCCAATTTTTTGTTCCAGTATGCGTTCATAACTCTTCGTCCATTAGCGTTCTGCAGTTGAGAAAGGCAGATTTGGAATCAGCATTTTATGTCCTACAGTATGGTGTATATGCCACCTAAGGAGACTACTTTGACTAAACATGCACTCCTTCTGAGAAGAATAACGTCAAGCATTAAATTGAGCGAATCAGCCCATTCGCGGTAGCAATGTCTATAAATCCACCGCACGTAGATTTCAATGCACAGGAGAAAGCATCCTGAACTGACTGCCAAGTTCGCATCGCTTTCACAGTGTAAACATCATAGCTATTGCTTGAGCATGGGGTGCAAGGCATAGTTCAAAGCTTACATGAGTTCTTCGCACAAAGCGCAGCATAAGCTCACCAGCGGGTTTCGAATACTATCGTTTCTGTCTTTCTCACGAGCATAAATACGTGTACCCGTCTGTGTATGCACATACAGAAACAAAAAAACTGTCTTAGACTAGCATCTTAACGCTGCAAATTTGAAAACTGTGTGATAAAAGCTGGTAGTGTGTGCTTATTGCAGCTACTAAGTTATAGATGTTCCAAAATTTTCGATGTCCTGGATGGTTGACCTTGCTCATGACGATGCAGGAAATCTCTACTCGAACGACTACGATATTTACACTTTTCTCAAAAAACATAGAAAAACGGTAAATGGCTTGCTGAATTTTTTTGCTAACTGGTTTATACAGCAGGAGTCATTTCAGCTGAAAAATTCATTCTTCTTCTTCTACGGAGATCACGGCTGCAAATTTGGAGAGGTCTAAAATAACAAACTGTGATCGTTTACTCTTTAAATGATTATTTGACTTTTAGGAATGTGAAGTTGCAGGAAGATCAGAAGTTTCTAACCCGTTTCTGTACATCGTGATTCCGGAACGCTATCGACAGTCACCGATATATAAACAGCTTCTGAAAAATAGTAAAGAGCTTGTGACACCTCATGACCTTCATTCGACTTTCAAGGATATTCTATATGTAAGTTTAAAAATGTAATGCTCAATACATACACGCAACTCCGAAAAATTTGAGTTTCAACCACAATACAACTTCACGGACATCAGTTTCAAGAACTTCACAAGTAATCCACGTGGATTCTCGTTACTTCGTCAATTTCAAGCGAATAAGAGCCGTAACTGCAAAACTTTGCCGATTCCCTACAATTACTGCCTATGCCAATATGGAAGGAAACCTGTAAGGTACGCGATTACAAGCTCTAAGTAGATTAAGACTACGGAAATTTAGGAAAAATATAGCTTAGACCAACATGATTATCGTCCAGGTTCTTAGTGATCAATGAATCGTAAACAGAAACCAATTCACAGCTTGTTTCACGGCAATTTTTTTTGCTTTCGAAGCGACATTCTGCGCCGCGACTTGAATATAGGCTTGATGACAGGTCTATCATCTGCTGCCGAAAGCTCAGGGCTCGAACTTGAAGTAACTTGAAGAACTTGAAGTGGACGGTGTCTTTATGGCTCTTAACTGCAGCCAGCTAGTCACACTAGGGTGCGCATCATTCGCAAATGAAAGGGATCATCAAAGCATAACGTGCACTATGTATTCCTAATTTCGGCTTTGAAAAATTTGGAAGCTCAAACGAGGGTGATGTTTGAGTATAATAATGAGTTTGGATTTCATTAATAGAGCTCAGATGATGAATAACTTATGTAAATAAATTCAAGCTTTGCGGGTACTGCATAGGTAACAAAGACATAGGAGATAGTCTCACCGTTAAGAGTTGACTTTGGGGATCTCCTACTGACTTTGATCAGACAATGAGTAAGGAGTTCTCGAGCACTTACGCAAAAAAAATTTATCTCAAAACTGCTGCGACCTCGTGCAAAATGATCTTTAAAAAAATGCAGCTTTTGATGCGAGGCAGTGTTGTCCACAAGACATGCTTATTTCATCGGCTTTACTGCTCTTTCAAGAAACCAGCATGCGCAAAAGGAAACTTCTCAAAAATTAGCCTATTTGGCAGAATTACCTAAGGCTAATGAGCCTGATAACCTCTATCGATAGTTGTGTAAAAAGTATTGAACTCAATTTGGCAGGTTACGACGTTTGAGGATGACAGTCAGAACTTCTTCTCAAAAGTCTGCGTAGATGGTAATCTTTGCACCCTAAAGATGTCATTGGTATGAGCGATTTTTTTCAAATGCAAATCTTGTTTAGGTTATGTCATACATATCCTTTGGGCCCCCACCACCCAGACGTGAAAATCTTAACAGAATCACAGCCTGTTGCAAAAGAGTTGCGGTTAAGGAAATGTTTGAGTTGTATCTATGCAAGCGCCGCAGACTTCGGAAGCAGCTGTGATTTTCAAAGTAAACAGTCTCCTTATAACTTTTGCTAGATTCTGATGATATTTTTTTGTAAGCAGGAGACTGGCATCTGGAAAATAATTTGTAGAATACTTGTTGTCGCGTTATCTTTTTGGTTAGAGCAGAAACTTTAATAGAAATAAAATTTATAGCGGCAGTGAAGAGCTCAAATGCTGTTTTGCAAACCCACAGACCGTCGATAAAATGAGCGAAAGTTTGCGTCAGGAAGTGAAATTGCGTCAAAGGTGCCGAGAACTTTTTCAACATTTTTTGTAACTATTAGCCGTGATTAGACCCCGTTGCAAATCGTCAACTTACAAAGAAATCGTTTTGTGCAAAGCAACCAACAGTTAATCAGTTCAGGGATATACTGGAAGATCACGGCAATGTGACACTTAATCAAATGTTTGGACAACCTGCTATCGAGAGGCTCAATAAGATCTTGAGTTTCCATTCTTCGGAATGTCATCCACTAGTGCTGAAAAATGTAAGAATATATTTATCAAATCGTTTCCTTTGACCTCCTAATTCTGACACTCGAAGGTGACAAAAGTTGAACTCTTTGTGCTTCCAAATAATGAATCCGTGAAATTTGAAGCAAACGCTTACGATGTGACTTTCGCTGTATCGGGACCAGTTGAGGCAATATTCAAAGTAAGTTTGCTTGTTTTCATCAAAGCAAACCTGCTTAAGCATATCTCACATCAGGTTCCATTTCGTGTAGAAGGTGATGTTGTGATACTCGGATCAAATACATTCACGCGAATAGATGTTGACGAAGTTGTGACAGCAGAAGAAACATGGAATTGTAAAAGTATTATTTCAAAAATTCTCTCTTTACTCTGTTTTTGCCTCTTGACACTTGGTCTGTTTTTTTATTTTCTTTTCCATACGCTCAAGAATGTGTCACTTCAAGATTAGATTTGCCTAGGACGTCATAATTTCAAAAGTATACGGAATGAATTTACAACAAATCATTAAAGTTTAATAAAAAGTTACAAGTACGATCCGCTTAGCAGACATTGATACGAAAGCGTAATGAGAAGTTTTTTCTTAAGCGATATGGTAAACAGAGCGCCAAACTATACAAATGTAAATAAATTTAGTGCAAAAAATTGCTTGAACAAGTCATTCCAAGCTGACCTCGTACAAAAATGCGCTGATAGAATGCACAAATATTGAATAGCCGATATTAGGCCTGCTATAATATGATTACGAATTGTTTCTGGTTGCAGAACATTCTTCAAAGTATTTTCATGAAATACTGCTTCAGAAAATTTTTTCATAATTCATATGAGCACTGTCACCCTGCCACATATCAGAATAAAAATTAACAAGTTTTGGCTCAGTTGGACATGTTTCCTCCAATTTTCGCCGAGGTACCAGAACAAATGAAATGACTCAAATGCTATTTGACTGTTTTTTATGAAAGCAAAACAATCCAAAACGTCTAATAGAACATTTTGGTCGCTTTCTCCAATGATTTAAAATCATCACTCGCTTCGAATCTTTTCGCCATACGAATTTATCCGAGTAAGAAAATAAATGATGGCTTGAAGTACCTAGCTTCCGCTTGCTACGGCGCTTAGATAATGGAACAGTAGCTCACCTCTCTGCTTTTGCTAATCTAATGTATTCATTAAACACAATGTTATTCTGATAGAGTTAACATTGATTTTTGAAATCATTGAATCAAAATGGGGCCCTTATGGATAGGAAAACATCGAAATTACATTAGTAAGTAGGTTGGACGTCGATAAAACCACATGTTGAACATGTAGATGACATTCCAATTTTTTGCCGCGTGGCACGAGGTTGATACTTCCTTCGTAATCTTTGATTCAACTGGCTTGCCGGCTGGAAGGCGGGGCTTTATGACTTAATTAAGGCTGCTCGCGCTCGCGACACAGTATGCGTGTCTCTCGCGCGCATACTCTCTAATCATTGTCTAGCCTTATATAAGTCACGTCCTTCCAGCCGCCAAGCCAGGGTAGTTACGACCAAATTTGGTGCGAGAAAAGAAGAAGTATCTTTTTTCTTTAAAAAAAATGGGTCCGGATAACGGAAATGTATCAACTGTTCACCAGACTTTTTGGAATATTATGCTCCTAAAACTGAAGTTGGGCGTAAAATGTGCATGATGACAGGCTGGGCCGATTATAGGGATGGTAATAAAGCACGGCTCCTAGTCAAAGCTCCCAGTTCGTGGCGACGTAAAGAGAGCGCAGTGCGGCATGTCCGAATAACTTGGAAACGAAAAAAAAACAAAAAAACTCAGAGGTGAAGGTGTAGGTGAAACTTTGCAAAAATCGATAAAACCGATATACAGGGTGTCCCAAAGGTATGTTGTATCTGCTATACATTGTTGGATCATTAATACCTCTCTTCCCTAGAATACAATCCTTACAATAACGAATAACTTGATAACGACCGCATCATATTCTCCACAAAACTTGCGCACGCGCATTATCGCTACATTAGTGATCGCTATGCACCTACAGACTCTGTACTTCGTGTATGTTTTAATTGCTTCAGATAGAGCAATTGCGGGCAAATCATTAGAAGAAAACGACAAGCAGCCTTTCTCGTACTGGATCTTACTTTTGAGTGCACAGCCATCACCTTGCGATTTTGAATACCGCCTCTTGGTATTCGTTATGATATGGAAATCAATAGTCTTATAGTAAGCAATGCACGCAACAGCGACATCGTCGCAATCTAATTGGTTAAAAGTCTTGGTTGAAATCTACATCAAGTCAGGCGTTAAAAGCAATAATTTATCTTTTAGTGATTCAAACATGGTTAATATTGCGTAAGCTCTTGCAGAACCGCTTTTGATTTTTCGTCTCAAAAGCCAACGACCTATCTGCAGAATATAGGAACGAGTAAAGGATCAACAGGCGGCATTGTGAAAGCATGCCTTTAGCTTTTTGAAATTCTGCGGAAGGAGCGCAAAAAACCAACGGATTTTCCGATGACCGCCCAGTCTGGACGATTGTTTGAGTACTCCTGAAATTTCTCTGGAGTAGCATTAGCGAATACCAGTAAATGAGCTGTTGCTGAAATGAATTGCTTATTCATTACTAGCCCGCAAACCCGGCTCCGTCCGGCAAGGTTAATAATACTTTCGTAATCAGCATGATCAATTCAATTACCCCCTTCCCCGCCAGCTCCCAGTCTTGTAGGTGAAACTTTGCAAAAATCGATAAAACCGACATACAGGGTGTCCCCAAGGTATGTATCTATTATACACTGTTTGATCGTTAATATCTCTCTTCCCTAGAGGTCTTTTGCCTACCATCACCATTCTGTAGATCTGGCTTCAACTTAGATTTAAAGAAGTGAATCACCGATCTTTTCTCATTACCGTAAGATTACAGTAGCACTTCGAGAGGGGTTTCAAGCCCTTCACAACTTATGCCAGGGAAATTGCAATAGCTGTCTAAAAAACTTGAGTAATGGAATCGTGTGCGTAAATTCCCTGATACCACACTTTCGAAGTTTTTGGAAACTTTCTTTCGAAACACGACTAAGCCATAATGACGCTGTAAGCCAAATGTCCCTACCGTTATCTTACAGTGATGAAGAGAGATCGATAGTTTGCCCCGTACTGTTAATCTAAGTTGAAGCCAGCTCTCTAAAATGGTAACTGAAGTTAAGCAAAATTTTGGGAAGAAAGATATAAATGATCAAACAGTGTATACATACTTTTGGGACACCCTGTAGATCAATGACGAAAAGTATCCCACGACACCCACCCCGCTCTGAAGGGTAGTGTGCCAAGTTTGGCCCAGGTCGCTTCAGAAAATAATCTTCTATTCGAAACATATGTACAGACAGAAACACAGATACACGAACAGACATAGAAATTCGGCTTCATTTATACAGATACTGGTCAAGTTCGCTAAAACAAAATTTTCTAATTACGAACTATGAAGTACGGTGTAATAAGAGCGCATAGGTATTGTAACGAAAGATTCAAGTAATTGTGGTTCTTTTTAAATCGTTGCTTATCGATTATGTGAAGTTTTCACAATTCATATTATGTGAAATGCAAATTCAAGTCAACAACATTCGACAGAAGCTAGATAATACCCTGTTGTCTACGATAAGAATAATACGGTGATGGATAATATGGTACGTACGGTCGTGGATAGTATGGTACATATGGTCGCGGCGGTAAGTACGGAACATACGGTTGTGGTCGGGTTATTGCTAAACGATGTTGGTGTACATAATATTTTGAAATTTATATATCAAACCATTAGCAACGGCAGCTACTCCAAGAAGTGTTCGTAATGGGGCGACTACAGGTGCGGGTCGAGGGCGGACCGCTGGCACTGGAACGACGTAAATTTGAACAGGACGAGGTCTGACGCCAGGACGAGGTCTAATGCGTCGTGGTCCTGGTCTTTGGGGCATTGAGCCTGTAAATTTGAAGGGCAGTAGAACTTAACTTGCACCTAGCAATGATGGTCTTACCATTTATCGCTATTGCGATCACTATAACCGTGAACCATCGCATTGAACGAGTGCCACAAATTATGTGTTTTAACGTGCGGACAAATATGAGTACGAACTTTGCGTATGAATTTCTAAGGAGGTGTGACAGCAAAGAGTGAACGCGTAATCGTTCACTGAAAAGATTTGTAAGCTAAGAATAAGCTAAGTCTGGTCTTTATATTGTACGCCACATCCTGATCGTTCCCGAATCATAGTAATAAGATCTAACGGGCCTGCTCTGATCCTATCAAGTATCGGAGTGGTTCAAGTTGCTTTCTGTCTATCACTTCAGAGTGTTTGCGAAAAGAGGGATCTTTATTGTACAAAAAATATGTGTCAATGATTCTCATTGCAGGTGGAGATTCTGAGCACCTTCTACTAGTATCGTAATAACCAATTTTTGTAAGTACAAGCAAGTTCGCAAAAAGAAAAAAGATGAGTATACTCAAAACCGAATTTTAATATGAAACTGAGCTGCAAACCCTACAATTGGTAGTAGATCAACTCGATTCAAGCGCTGCCGAGGATGAGACGAAGGTGACGGCACCGAAACAATAACCTTTTAATAAAGCGTATTATCAGCTTTGGTTGTACGCGGAGAATACAAATCTTTATACTGGGAGCACTACTAGAGTTTGGGCTACCTAAAGGAGCTATTCACCTTTGTAAATAATTTGGAGTTTGGCATCACTTGTATTTGTGATTTCACTTCTGATAATGAGTTTGCTTTGACTGTCACCAGTAGACAAAGTTTGTTAAGTCCCATTTTTCATTTCCGTTCATTTATTGCAATAAGAAGACAAATGCTCTTTCCATTTGGGTTTAGATAGTTATCTAAAATTGAGATTTCAAGCCTCGATGCCCCAAAATCTATCAAATACGGAAGGATTCACATAAAGTAAATGAACTGATCTACTTCTCCAGCTTAACATGCCTGTGATAAGTATCAAATAGTATTTCAGATTAATTTTAGTCTCCAACTGGAAAACGCTATGATTAATAGCTCGGAACTGTTGAGGGTTTCTTGACACCTTGATTCTGCGCACTCCAAATCCTTTTGCTTCTCTTTTCGTCAGCAGCATGCGTTAGTGCCAATTATGAAGTGACAAAATCACTGAATAAGGAAGTGTGATCGTGGTGGAAAGAAATTGATAGCCGAATTTGCAAGCTATAAGCTTCTCAACTAAGTTCTGCACCTTTTTTTACATCTTCTTTCTCATTGAAAACGACTCACTCCGATTTTGCCATTATGTAGCTTATGAGTTAAGCTATGCGCACCACTGTTACACATCCCGAAGTCGCAGTAAAAATTTCTTTTTCTATTCAACCACACTCAACGGTCTACACTGTAAAAACCGTGATGAATTTAAATGAGGTTTCGTTAGTTGTGATTGTAGACGTACTTCGAGATATGCTCCATTGGTAAGTCCATGACTTCTTCTTGCCAGCTGCAAGCTCAGATTGGGAGTTCTGTTTGTGTTCGCTGGATCCGTCTTTGACTAGTGTGACCAGCGGTGGACTACTAAGGGTTTATTCCACCGGATACTCCTTCTCTTATATCCTTCATCGCTGGAGTAGGTCCCAAAAGCTAGCCGACCACTAGCGGGATTAGTGAAGACAGAAGCAAGGGTTATGGTGTAAATATATACGTCAGAAAAACTTGCTTCAATACAGATTTGACTGGAACTTCCCAGAAATTATCGGACATATTGATCAAAAAAACATTACTGTTCTCGCATGATATGTATATATGCCTCTTTGATGGGATTATGATAAATTTTTCGGAATAGAGAATTACCTCAGAAGCGAGAAGGAACGTTAACCCAAACATTGGGCCACCCACTCCGACAATGCATGGGAACTTCCGATCTTCAAATGGGGTCTTTAAATGCCTTGCGTTACTCCAATAAATGATTATGCTATTCTGTTCGGCACAACGATTAACCCCACTGTGTGAAGTCGAAATCCCAACTCCTTACAAGGGAATGGTCAGAAATCGAAGTGGCCAAATCAAGCACACTCTATAGCACCAGATGCAGCATAAAACGCTTATTCTAAATCTGTCTTCCTTATCTGCAGAGCACTTTTGTGGATGATATTATAAGCCGCTAAAGTTAACTATTTTGCTAAGAAATTCTGTGCGTAAAGGGCAAACTTGGCCGTACAATGCCATTCTGTGTTGAACCAGAACATGCAAATAGGTCCATATGGCCCGTAACTAGATGTGAGCTAAAAGAGCAATAATGTGCCTAATTTCGCAATTTTTGTGCAACAATTTTTTCGCAGCAAAGCTACTCATAACTTCGCCTACAAAGGCGCTCTGCAGGTATGGAAGACAGATTTGAAATCAGCATTCTATGCTGCATCGAATGATATGCAGCCTTTATGGATTAGCCACTTCAGCTTCTGACCATTTCCTGTTAATCATTGACTGTTGTCCATCCAGCAACATTGCTTACAGCAACGTTCAAGTTTGTGAGTGCTCCGCACGACTTTCTTCAAATAAAATCTCTTTTTTGTTGAACTAAGAACCTTTAGCAGCAAAATGCGCTCCAGCTGTGTGTGGAATAGGTTGCGAATTGCTTCATTTTTGCTTATATATAATCACATAAATCCTCGAATTTTACTACTTTTTGAAAAGTTCTCAAAAATTTTCTATTCTACTGTCAAAAAGCAGTAAGTCTGTGCAATGTGTGGCTCACATTCTAGTTACACAATAATTAAAATGAATGAATAAACACCAGAAAGCGAAAAGGTACGGAATCGGTTGCAAACTTCAATCAAAAAACTAATATTGTGCAGTCATTATCATATCGTCTTAGTATCTTAAGCATCTCTTCAATGTTTTTTACATACACTTTCTCTCTCTTTTTCTGATTTGAAGCACGATGCTGCTTTAACTAAATTGGACATGAAGATGTTTCATAGCTTGCGATGATTCTGTGCAAAAAGGGGCTCTGCAGTTTTCCTTTTCTTTGTATACCAGTCTCAAATTTGGTAGCGCCCGTTCACTGGCTCACGTCCCCCCCCCCTTCCCAAACTTGCGAAGACTTGGCAGGAAATTTCTGAATTTGTTGATGTGCAAGAGCGGGGCCTACTTCTGAAACTTCTGACCTCTTCTCGTTGATACGAGACAGCTCTTCTATACATTATTTCTCGGCTAGGAAGCCGCAAATTTCCAAGCTGGATTATTCCCCTGAAACCAAATTTGTTAATTTTAAAAATTTCTGCTACATTCGTACACTGGAGTGCGTGACTTTGCTTCCTCTCCTCTTGAATTTAGGTCGAAATAAATATGCCAAAGGTATCAAAAGTCTCTATCTCGCTAGCAAAACCTGTTTACTCTACAATTCGACAAGCCAGCTCGCGAAATCCTAAATAGGGCACAATCGACAACATTCCGAGACCGTTACATGTGATGTGGCGGTCATTCGTTGATACTAATCTCATATTCTCTAAAACCACTTGATTTTCATTCCAAAAGTAGATATTTGAATTTTCGTGATCTACCATGGGTGACCTATCTGCGATCGATGATGGCACTACAGTGCCCTACATTGCTAAAATTTGCTGACGAGGAAAACCGATTGTCTTTTTGATATTCATTCTTTGAAAAGTTGTCCTGGTTATTTCTCGTACCCCATAGGTAGCTTTTGTTTTTCCAACAAAGTAAACCTCATTTTAATGCATATTTGACTTGACATAAAAATTCATTGACTCTTTGCGTACGAAAAAATGGTTAGAAATTTTTTTGCTTTGCAGATCTCGTTTATGCGATATTAGCAGACTTCATTGCTTCTAGTTATGTCTCACAGAGAACGATTGCCATCGGTGAGTTGAAATTTTCACGCTATTTTCTACGTTTATGACTTTACTTTTCGGTTTACCCCTAAGAGTATGGAAATCTGAGTTTTTTTTTGACAAAGAGTTGAAAATCCGCTTTCAAAATCCTTTTCTTGCGTAAGTGATTACGCTATTCTATGTATATGGTTGTCCGGAAAATAATGTCGCTTTTTGTTTCATCATGCAATATCGCAGCAGGGTGCGCACGAAAGTATGTGAATGGGGTATCAACCGATAGATCAGAGCAAGCTCTACAAAATGAAGCTCGAACCTTCGCGCCAGGTTTGATTTGCGTGAAGTTTGGAGCCAAATTTCACAAAGCACTCAAGATCCGAAAAAACAAAAAAAACCGTATCTCCGTTCAGAGAAGCCCTGAGGACCCCTAACTTGCTCACGCATGGACTCACCATACGAGACACTCGTACGCGCATTTTCGCGGTTTTTCCATGGCTGAAAACTGAGAAAACAAAATTTGGCACATTTCTGCCAAAGCAATCCTGAGCTTCTCTCACATGGGTGATTCTGTAGCATGAACCTTTAGGATTATAACCATGAATTTTCAGCTTTAGACAAGCGCTAGTTTTCGAGAAAAATCAAATTGTTTGCAAAAAAACCGAAAAACACGACATATTCGCACTTTTGACCTCTTTTTATTTCTCGTACTGTAGCCATGGAAAAATACCAAAAACTATACAGGTGAATGTCTAGTGTGGAGAGTACATGCCTGTGCAAATTGGAGATCCCTAAGACTTCTGTGAGCGGAGATACGATTTTTCGGGCGCCTGAAATTTTTTATATTTTGGATTCGAACTTCAGTTGGAGCAATATCTCCGCGGAGATTTGTGAACTATCTTGTAGAGCTTGCTTTGCTCTATCGAATGATACCCCACTCGATGTTTTTTGTGGTCATTCTGTCGCGGTAGGATGCCTTGCGACATTATTTTCCGGACAACCTGATATTTTCATCATTCCGATAAACACTTTTATCTTCTCAACTATTTATTTGCTATATGATGATATAATCTTCTCTTATGACTCAGAATGACCCAGTTGGTTCTGGAATCGTGTCATTACGTCGACATTTTTACCTGTATACTAAGCCAAAATCCGCGTAAATTTTACTCTCGTTCTGTAATTCTAATCAGTTTCCCCATAGTCAAACACGAACTTACAAACGTAACTTTATCAGCTTGATGCATGTTTTGCTTTTAGCAAGCGTGAAACTATTTTTTTCTACTATTTAACGAACCAAACGATTTCATAAAAGTTGGAAAAAATTACGAAAATTCATTTTGTCGCAAAACTCAAACATCGACCTAGTAAAGGAATGCGGTCCATTACAAACCACATCTAAAGACAAGATGAAGTGTGGATCAAAGTTAAAGAATCTTATAACATTGTAACTAAGAGGGAAACAAATGCCTTATATGACTGTAGATTTAAAAATCCTTAAGACTTATACGTGCTGAAGCTATAGACCTTGAACAAGGGCTAACGGCAACGAAAACTCCAAACTGACATCATCCTTTTCTTCAGTCAGAATTTTGTTTCCAGAATCTGGTAATTCTATCCTAATTAATTGTTACGCATACTACAAAAAATACTTGGGTATAATGTATCACGTAATCGTTAAGAAACGAGACAGTGCTCAGTTTACATGTATAGAGTGTCTCTGTGGGCTCCAATTCAACTTCTCAACTTTTCGTCCTTAATCCTGAATCCGTAAAACTCTTTTGCATCCAAAGCGAATATCTGCCCACAACTGTACTTTTCGTAAAATCTAATGCATTTTTTAGAGTGCTTTTCATCTAGAATTCATTAGTTTTCTTGATGCGTTTTCATCATGATGCCGCTAATTTCACATGATCTGCAAAGAAAGGAGTATGCGAAATGAGCAGGCTAGCTCTAATTTGGAAATTTCTCTCGTCTCCACCATACTCCTATTCTCTGCAGCTTCATTTGTTTGAACAAAGTATCTCATGGTTCTTGCTTATCACCAATCAAGTATTTTTTATGCAAGGCTTATGCCTAGCAAAAAAATCAGTGAAAATGAAAAAGCTAAACAACAGACAACATGTTGAAGTATCAGTTATACACATACCAAATTGGGTTTTTCGAAGTAAAGTGATTCAAAAATCCAACTAGGTTGTCTCCGTTCACCAAAAAAATTCCATAGAAAAATTTTCATGATATCAGCCATGTTCCAACCACTTGCCTACCAACTAGAGTTCTTGCATTCTTTGGCGAGAATTACAACAGTCAAACTATGTGATTTATCAAAAAAGCAGTCGTAGAAAGAGAGAAACGTAATTCAAGTAGTTTTACAAAGTTTCCTTATTTGCACTGACCATAGTGACGTTTCTATGAGGAATTTTTTGTAGGGACTCATCTGAGTCAAGGCAAAAGCAGTCTTCTTTTACAAGAATGAGTAAATAGACTATCATGAGAATGTGTGCATTTACACCTCCACAAACTTCCACGCACTCGAATCATGCAAAAACTTACTTTATATGGACAAAGAATTTCACAGTAAGTTAGTAAATATAAAAGAAATAAGATATAAATAAACAAAAGCGAGAAAACTGATTGACTTCACCCATGGTTGCAATAGTCCAAACTTCCAGGTTTTTGTTCTGACATGAGCCATGAAGAACTGAAAATACTTTGCATGATGCAAAGAAATGACCCACACTTTTGCATGTGGGAATCACTCAAAGAGGATGAAAGCTAAAAGCTTAATTCAAGTGAAAGTACTAACTTAAGAAGCATTGCAGATTTTTGGCTTCTTAAGCTGACTCCCGTTTTTTTGTTCGTAAATCATAATTCAAGTGTAAAAACATGAATTGCTCTCAGTGCGTTCATTGTTTTAAATACAAGTTTAATGTTTCGAATAACGTACAGAATTTATTTGCTGCTCACTATGGTTTCTATATGAAAACCAGGTTGGCAGAGCAATTCTCCAGAATGTTGTAAGAGTAAAGATGTAATCGCTTGTAAAACCATGGTGAGTTAGAAACAGGGCTCGGCACGAGGTGGCTAATTGAAAATGCAAAAAACGAAGTCCCCCTTGATTGCGATTTTTTCACGAAGTCTCCCTTAACCCTAGATCATAATCCCTAAAAAATCTCTAAAAAACGAAACGTCAATTTAAAAAAAACTCCGCAAATTTTGTCTCTTTGTCACAAAAAGGAAATCCCTTTGCTTTTTGTCCCAAAAACGATAAGCTTGCAAGCCACCTGTGCTGAGCCCTGGTTAGAAATATAGTAGTTGCTTTTGCTTTCATGGCACTTAAATTCCATAAACTTCCCATCTGTCTTACTAAGTCGTGATCGCAGCATTCGGAACATTATGTGCTTCCAAAGTAAAAAACATCGAAAGGGGGACTTGTAGTTCCCAAACATACTGGCCAGGGCTCGGCACGAGGTAGCTAGATGAAAATGGAAAAAACGAAGTCCCCCTTGACTTTTGGGAATTTTTACGAAGTCCCCTTTGACCCTCAACCAAATTTCCTCTAAAAACCTGAAAAATTCCCCAAAAAACGAAACGTCGACCAAAAAAATAAAGGTCGCCGTCGCCAATTTTCCGTGTCTCTTCGGTCACAAAAACGAAACCCCCTTTGCTTTTCGTCCCAAAAAACGATACCAGCTGGCTTACAAGCCACCTGTGCCGAGCCGTGATACTGGCCAATTTTTATGTAACAACTTTAAATGTTGGTTAATTGTTCCGAGATTCTTTTAGTGATGGCCGCACTCTTCCGTTAGGGCTACTCAGAGCGAATCGAGAAATACGGGACTAACCAGATCTGCGTTTTGTGTATTCTCGTAAATTGCCTTTGGAACGATAGAATTCCCCAGCGATGGACTTGTCCTATTTTCGGTTCTATTCAATAGGACCTTAGTTAGCTGAAAGTTCCTTTCCTATTTTCGTGGTTTTCCTCATTTCCCTTCCCCTTCCTCAATTAACTTTCTACCATAGAAGTTCGAAGTTTCGAATTCTTTTGGTTTTCGCTTTAACCCCTTATTCACTTGATCTTTTAAGTGTGTTTTATATGTAGCCTAGTTCCGCTTCCTCATTTCAACGCGAAATTTTCCTGTTAATGCAAAAAAATCTTATTCAGCCAACTGAATAATTTGAAACTCCCAAAATACCCAAAAATTCTTATGCCATTCTTTTTTGTTTTTGAGGACCGCGTAACAACTAAGTGTTTATTGCAGACCTTTTTCTTTGTTATGTGCTGACAAGGTTATGCGTCTTTGAAAAACATAAACAAACATAAGGATAGCATAAGCCGTCATGAAATATCTTTACTCGCTCTTACGTAATTGTATAAATTTACTAGCTATGAGCTCAAGGAATTCTTTTGCTTTGAACTCAATTTGCGTAAGAATTCAATGACGTAGAATTTGTGATTGTAAAAAACTGCATCAGATCTGCACAGTTTTGACTTCGGTAAGAATTCTTCCGAGAGAGGGGGGGGGGGAGAGAGAGAGAGAGAGGGAGAGAGAAAGAGAGAGAGAGAATGCTTCGCAATATTGTCTGTCAAGGTACCCGTCAAAAGGAAGTTGTGTAGGAAATTTTTTTCATGTTATCACTTTTTCCTATCATGATGTGCTAATAAATCTACAGGGTGTCCCAAAAAAAATGTATCGAACGTTTGATCGTTGATATCTCTCTTCTGAAGAAGTCTTTTCCCTTGCTTCAGGTACCAATCTGTAGAGCTGGCTTCAACTTAGATTTGCATTATAGAACGAATCACTCATCCCTCTTCATTACTGTAGGATTACGGTAGAAACTTCAAAGAGGGTTTTAAGCAATGAAAGGCCATATTTTGCCCCAGAAAGGAAACAAAACAGCTTGAGAACTTTTACACTAGGCTAATTAGAGTTGATTACAACTGTAAAGTTTCCAACTTATTATGATGTTTCATTGAAGAGTTATGCCAGGTAAGAGGTAGCGGCCATTTTTCAATGTTCCCAAAAAGTGCGGTT